TTAAACAATAGTTTGGAAGACACTGTTACTTAGCATTTCGGCGAATTTAAGTCGACTTGCCTTATTGAAATTTAAAGTTAAAGCCTGGGTTAAGTGCTCCTGGCCTATTGTCCACGACAGTGCCTTGGCTATCAGTGTACAATTGCCAATCAATCAGCACCTTGTTTCTGGCCCGATAAAAATCATTGTTTCTATGAAATTTGGTACTCTTGGATTTCTTCTGATGAGTGCCAGACGCCAAACCTTTGCAACATGTAGCTTTTCTCAAATAATGGTCACAATCTGTACGACCCAGCAACAGTATCGAAATATGACTTATGCTGCAATCAACTTACACTGCATACAATACTTGGAAATTGTTAAATTGTAAAATCAGTTGTCTCTCCCTTCAAGCATGGTCTCTATCTCAAATAAAACATCTCAACAACACCGAGCAAAGGGATCTCTCCTAACCATGTTCCTACTCTTGAAACTGCACGCAAAACATAAAAAACTTTTCACTGGTGCATGTGGCAATAATAAAATCAAACCAAAACAAAAATTCAGGATTAATGATCCCTTCTCAGACGGTCCAACAATGCAGTCTTTATTTCTTCACTGTATCAAAATTCTTTATGATTTATCTTAATATTTATATTAGTGCTGATCTAAGCCTGCATTGTTGATGAGAACCTACCAGCATTAGAAGGAGATTGAAAACTTCACCTGCAAAGGGCCATCTATAAACCAAAGCTTACCATCAATTGTTAATGTATAATGAGCTTGGACAGAGCTGACGGGATTGATTGCAATGCAAGTGTAAGTGCCACAATCATTTTTCCCAGCGTTCGAAATGATGACGCTTCTGCTCCCATCTACTAGTTGGTGATATTGAGAGATGTTCCCTCCATCTTTCTGCCATCGATACTCATGAGGCTGCCCAGAAACATTACAGGTCAGCATGATGGTGGAATGGAGGAAGCTGGAGTTGCTTAATATCGAAGATTTTGACAGCTTATCTGAAAGAGAGAAATACACAGATTAAAGAATTATACTAACGCGAGCCTTATCCTTCACAAACATGAGCAAAAAACAACAGTGTCCTCCAAAGTGTTTCACAGGCAGGTTTAAGGTACAGTTGTGTAAGGAACAGGGAACATGAATCTGTCTGTAGTTTATTCACAGTGAGGAGTGCGATGAATGGTCTAATGATGCAGTTTTAAAGCAGTTAGAAAAATGTCCATCAGGACAACAGCACAGTTTTCTGTTCTCCTCTCAAATAGGGGATTCTAAGTCTCCTCCCAAACTACTGGAGTTGGCAGCTGGGGCCATGCTCTGGAGCTGAACATCAGAGAAATGGTTCCTTCAACAAGACTGCACTCCTTCAGCAGTGTGCTGCTGGGTCACTACATTGGGTCTTGAAAAGTCATATTTGACGTGAAATGTTAATTTTCTGTCTTCACAGATGCTGCCAGACCTCCTGAGTATTCCAGCAGTTTCTGTTTTCGTCTTGCGTTAATCTGTTTTGCCAGTAATCCTTTTACTTGCCAGTTTAAGAACAGCATTATGTTTTGAAGGGTCAAACGTTTTTGATTGAATGAACAAATTGGATTCTGTTGTCTCATTGACGTGTCGTCAGAAATACCAGACTGGCACACAAACGTACAGTCCCTCATAGCAAGCTGATGATATTGCAATATCTTAATGCACATGGCAGTTAGTGAAATCAAATTACCTTTCCTCTTCACTCACAGGATGTGGATGTAGCTGGCTGGGCCCAGCATTTATTATTCGTCCCTAGTTGCCCTGAGAAGGTGGTGATGAGCTGCCTTATTCACCATCAATATTAACAGAATCCATTTATTGATAGTGTTAGCACAGTGACTCATTAAAATTGGGAGGTAGTGGCCCAGTGGTATTGTGACTAGTCATCCAGAGACCCAGGTTCGAATCCTGCCATGGTGGGCAGTGGAATTTTATTAAAATTATAAAGTATGGAGATGGTAGAGAATGCAAGAGAGATCTGCCTGTGCATTGGAGGATCAGAGGACAACAGTACCATTCCCACACCCAAGCTCAGCCACTGGGTCAAAAGCTGGTGAAAGGTTCACTTAAGAGCTCATTAATTGGTTAGTTAAGAACTAAATTGGCCTGCAAGTAAATGGGCTTCCTGACTACTACCAAAGTACGCACAGGGGCAGGTAGATGGCTGGCAGGATGCCTGGCATAAGTTTCACACCCCATCCATTCCCCTTCTGCAGCTCAGGTTTCAGGTTGATGAACTAATGAGTGGATTGCCTCAGGGATCGGTTCTGACACCTCAACTACTCACCAGCTGGATTAATGACTCAGACGAAAGGGCCAACTGTATTGCAGCAAAAAGATAGTAGGAGATGGTCGACCCATTGTCTCAGCCTGCCCCTGCCCCACCAAACTTATCTCCACCTACGCCAGCTTTCCTGCTCCTCTGATGCTGCTTGGCCTGCTGTGTTCATCCAGTTCTACACCTTGGTATCTCTTGTATTGCAGCAAAATTGACAAAGCAAAGGGTATAAAGAGTCCGCAAATGGATACAGACGAGTTCAGTGAGTGGACAAAAAAAAAACCTGGCAATTATATGACTGTACGCCTCGGCAGGAAGAACTGAAGATGAAGAGCAGATATTATTTAAATGGAGAAAGACTGCAGAAAGCTGAAGTACAGAGAGATCTGGATGTCCCTGTACTGGATATCATAAAAAGTTAGCAGATAGTTTTTGACATAAAAGCAGATGGAAATGTGAGTTGTGAGGAGGAAACAAAGAGGTTTTGGGAGAGTCGGACAGGCTGAGTAAATGGCAAGCTCTTGGTGGATGAAAGATCACACAGACGTTTGGAGAAATCATTTTGTAGACATATACTCTGACTTGTTGCAGCGATGTAGTAGTCAATGTATCGAAGCAGTGGATAAATGTAACAACATCCACTTGAAAGGAAGAACAGAGGTGTAGAATATTTTTTAAAACAGTGAGAAATTTGGAAGTGTTGATGCTCAAATGGACCTGGTATCCTTGTCAGTAAGTCACTGAAAGCTAACATGAAGCTTTGGCAAGCATTTAGGAAAGCAAATGATATGTTGGCCTTTATCGAAATAGGATTGGAGTACAGGAGTACAAATGGCTTGCTTCAATTGTATAGTGCCTAGTGGGACCATGCCTGGACTGTATATACAGTTTTGCCTCCCACTTAACTAAGGAAGGATATACTTTCTATAGTGGGCGGTGCAGTGAAGGTTGATTTGACTCATTCCTGGGAAGGTGGGATTGTCCTATGAGGACAGATCGAGGAGACTGGCTCAATTGCCCTGGAGTTTAGAAGAATGAGAGGTGACCACACTGACAATTAACTTCAAAGGCTCAATGGAGTGGGTGCAGGAAAGATGTTTCCTGTCTGTAGTCTGCAACGCGGGGACACAGTGTCAGAATAAGGGTCAGGCCATGTAGGTCCATGTACTGGTCTGTATAATGTATTTTCCCATAGCACAGATCATTGCTGCTTAACTCCATGAGACAAGCATACCTATTATCCATAGCTGAACATCTTGAATGATGATATCACGTAGATTGATGGAAAGTGTATAAAGACCCGCATCTGAAGAAGTTAAATGATGAAGGATGAATGATCCATTGGATGGGAAGAATTCAAGGCGACCTGTGTACTTATTTAATACTGAAGGTTCTGTAGCCCCAACGTGAAACAGTAGCACTCCCGTACCGAGCCCATTCGTTGTACCTCCATTGGACACTTTCCACTGGTAAAATTCTGCTGTGCTCCGTTCATACTCATCAACCCCAGGGAAGAACATAGAGCTTCCAGGAGCACAGTAAGATTCCATTTTGACGTTGCCTATGAGCAATAATAGAAACAGTGATTGTTGCATACAAAGTGTAGAGTGAGAGTTTGGCGCTGTTTCATGTGCTGAGATTGGACCTGTGAATCATCACCACTTTTACTGTCAATAACACAGCCACTGAATTCTACGGTGCAAAGGCACAGGTCAACGTGGCTTGTTTCGACATTACTGCGTGTATACTCTCCACCATTTCCAAATGCCACTGTGAAAAATCCCTAGGGCACACTTTGCCGGTGTTGAATCGCTGAAAGGGAGGTGCCTCACAAGCAGCAGAAAGGTCTGGGGTGAAGCCAACAATTTGCCATCAAATACTGTTAGTGGACAGAAGATTACAGATAATTCACTGGTGGTTTTCTGCAGCACATGAACCCCAACCACATGAATTAGAACGGAGGTTAATCACCAAAGCTTTTATTTAAATTTGACTCTTTCTCAGAGTTTATTTACACTAAGTTTAGTACTGGTGTGAACAGACCTCAACTTTGAAGAGAGTAAATAGGAAAGACTTGCACCGTTCATGACAGCAGGACTTGCAGACAAACCAATATTTTAAAGTGTAGGCGTTATTGATATGTAGGACCCACAGCAGCTAACTTGTACAAAGGAAGGTCTCACAAACAGCAGCGTGATAATTACTGTGTTGACAATGTTGGTTAAGGGATTATTATTGGTCAGGAGATCATGGAAAACTTTTATGTTTCTTCAAAATACTGACCATAGAATCTTTTCCATTCGTTTGACAGGACAGGTAGGGGCTTGGTTTAACATCTCATACGAAGGAAGAAAGAAATCGTGTCGTATTCTCTCAAGGTCCCCAGCACTCACAAGCCAAAAGCAGTCCTCCTTTTTTAGAGAAATTGGTTCACTACCTCACTGTCTGTGCTCCTCATCAGCTGTAACTATAAATGATGCATTTTAACACAAGACCTCATTCAGATTAACAGACAGCTCCATCACAGGAATTGTTCTACTATGGAATTTACTTCCACCACGCTTTCTGCATTCCCGAAAGGAACAACTCACTGCAGCAGTAAATTTCTCCTCTTCTCCCTGATGATTCATTTTTGCCAAATATCCCAATGGAAACAGACTTGTCTTATCAACTATGTCAAAACCCTTTTAATGCCTCTGATAAATCTCTCCTTAACTTTCTCTACTCTAAGGAGGTTCTCAATAAAACTGAAGTCCGTCAATCCTAGCGCCATTCTCTTCATCTCTCTCCATGTTCCAGACATGCCTCCTGATGTGTGGTGCCCTGAACTGGATACAACATGCCAACTGAAGCCTATGTGATTTACAGAGGTTCACCTTAATATCTTTAGCTCTGTAGACAAAAATGCCTAATGTCTCATTGTTACAATGACTGCTGACTGTTACTTTGTCAGTGGGAATTAACTTTGGTAAAGTTAGTCTTTCTTCAGTTTACAGATTTCAGTCAAACGGCCCCATGGTTCCTGATGGTGCCATTCCAAAGCTGTTCCCCTTAAACCTCAACCCTCCTCACCCCAGTACAAAGGGCTTCCCAATCACCCTGTGCCACGTATCAGGTATATCTGCTGGGAGGTGCTGGCTCTCATGGAGGGTTCAGTTGGTTACTGCCTCTGGCATAAATACCTGAGGATGGTCTTGTATGCTCATAATCACAACCTCTTGCAAGGTGCCATGGACAAGGAGTGATACTGATACAAAGATATCACTCATCGTCACATGGATAGACACTTCACTCAGAAACAACAAATCGGTAGAAATTTCAACATACCTGTCCCACTCTAAGTTTGAGCTAAGTATGAAGACATTTCCCAGAAACTAGCTAGCTATGTTAAAAACAATACATTTTTTAAGTTGCGATTCAGACATATGATGAAAATGTTTCTGCTTAGCCCCATAAATGCATTTCCAAATGAGTGCAAATCCAACAAAACTCAAGAAGCTCAACATCATCCTGGACAAAGCAGCTCACTTGATTGGCACCTCATCCACCATCTTTCATATTCGCTCCCTTAACCACTGCTCAGTGGCAGCAGTGTGTATCAACGACACCGCTCACTGCAGTAACACCAGGCGTCCTTGCCTGTAGCTTCCAAACCCACAATAACTACCATCTAGAAGGACATGGGCAGCAGATAAATGGGCACACCACCCCCTTGAACTTCCCCTCTAAGCCACTCACCAACCTAACTTGGAAATATATTGCTGTCCCTTCAGTGTGGTTGGGTCAAAATCCTGGAACTCACTCTCTCGCAACATTGTGGGGTCTACTTGCAGTAGTTCCAGAAGGAACACACTCTCTACAGCAATTAGGAATGGGTTCTAAAAATGGGCTTGAAGATGGCACCTATAGTCCATGAGTTAATTTGTAACATACTTTTAAATTTGGTATATATCTACACATCACCTTAGTACAGAAAGAAATATTCATCATGGAATTGTGGAGCTCTAAGTAACTCCTACAACGAGAAACATTTACTTTATCTGAGAGTCAGGACTCACCATTGATAATCTGTACGCAGTAACTCAGTAGAAAAGACAGCAGAAGTAAATTAAAGGCACACTTTGTCAAGCGGAAGTGTTCATTGAGGATCCCCATAGATCAGGGACTGGCTGACCTGTTTGCTGTATGTAACATTGGAAATTAGACAATGTTAGAGACTGGGAGTACATGTTAAAAAAAATGTCCTAGAGCTATTTACAACTTCAGAACTTTACAGGCAAAGAAGTACTTTTGAAAATAAGTCACTATTGTAATGCAAGGAAATGAGGCGGCTAGTTTTCACACAGCAAGGTCCAATGACCAAAACCTTTTTACTTATAGAATGCTATTAAATAGTATAAAGGTACTTCACATGAACATTCTGCAGCTAATGACAACATGCATATTAGGGTTGATGGTCAAAAGCTTAGTCAATGAAATAGGCTGTAAAAGAGTTTGTAAAGGAGGAAAGTGAGAGACAGGTTGAAAGATACAGGGAGGATAACTTATTGAGACACATGAGAGAACTTAACAGAGTGAGTTCTGAAGGGATATGTCCCCTTGGAGAGACTAGAACTGGTGGGTGGGTGGGGGTGCAAGTCAACAGTAAGAGGCCTTCTATTTGAAACCTTGTGTCAGAATTGTATCGATTAAAATTCTGCAATCAGATTTCATTTTTAGGTGTTATTGGTGCCTAATCAGATTGTAACAAGATCCACCAAAACCACACTATCCCCCAAGACAGTGGATCTCTCACCAGTGACATAGACAATAGGAACAAGGGGTGGTCATAGAGGCAGCTCCTACATTCAATTGCTGATCAATGGCTGATCATCTGTTTCAATGCACTTTGCTTCATCAGGACAGCAGAGCTGGCTTGTTCCGCACCATTCATGACGTCTCAGTCACTGAAGGAGTCTATGTCTATATGTGGCGATATCTGCAAAATATCCAGACTCTGGTTAATACGTGACAAGTAACTTTCGTGCCATACAAGTGCCAGGCAACGATAATCTCCGATAAGAGAGAATCTAACCATTTATTTATTGACATTCAATGGCATTACCATTGATGACTCCTCAACTATCAATATCCATGGGGTTACCACTGATCAGAAACCGAACTGAACCAACCATACGCATATCAGAGCTACGGAAGCACTCAGAGGCTAGGAATTCTGTAGCGAGTGACTCATCTACTGTTTCCCCAGCGTTTATCTGTCCAACATCTATAAGGCACAACTCAGGGATATGACCAAAGGTGATCCTGGATGGGTGCAGCCCCAATAACACTCCAGAAGCTTGACCCTATCCAGGACGAAGCAGTGGCAGCACTGTGTACCGTGGATAAGATGGACTGTAACAATTCACCGAGCTTCCTTCAACAGTACACTCCAAACCTGTGACCTCTGACAAGGATAAGCGAATATCGCCAGCTCCAAATTACACCTCATTCTGACAGGCCCATATCCCACGAATGAATGAAAAAATAAAGAAATATTCGAAGCAGGCTGTTCAAAACAAAAAACAGCGTGCTCGATGCTACGTTACAAAGGTAATAGTACAAGAATATTCCTTTATTCTTGTAAAGAAGTTGTGCTAAACTTTACGAAATATTTTGGCCTCAGATTAAATATTCTGTCCAATTCCGGGCACTGTATTTTAAGAAGGGTGTCACACTCATGGAAGGGTGCAGAAATAATTTGTTGGCATTGTGTCAGGAATGGGGATGGGGAGGGGCTTTATTTATGTGGCCAGGCTGGAGAAATCTGGGACATAACCTGAGCGAGTGTGGAAGCAGATTCCACAGGAAGTTTCAAAAGGGAACTGGATAATCACTTGTACGGATAAATAAAATACCAGGGTATGCAGGGAAGCGGGAATAATGAGGTAAACCTGACAACTGTTGGTAAAGGTAGGATGGGCTAAATAGCTCCCTGCAAAGCGGGTTCACTTTATTATTTTAGGATGCTTTGTGACAAACATCTGGTCCTCAACTTCCACGTTTCGTCCAACATTCCCAGCAGAAACTGGTTTCTGCCATCCTCTGAATTTGCTCAGTTTCTCAACCAGAATTTGCAGACTCCCAGATCTAACCGCTCATTCGCCCTGACCCCCAAACTCGGGCAAAAGTTTCAGAAAACCCTCTACATGTGAACTTGATTTTTGAACGAATAGTTGGAGCTCAAACCGTTGCAGTGGTCATTCAGACTGTCAGAGTGAGATATTAGCAATGCCAAGGTCATGGGTTCAGTCTCTGTACTGGCCTATGGTGCTGGCTTCCACTCCAGAGTTTAATTCCAGCACCTTGTGGCAGAGTGGTAGTGTCCCTTCCTCTGGTCCTGAAGGTCTAGGTTCTAGCCCTACCTGCTCCAAAGGGTTTTTCCTTTAATTCATTCACGGGATGAGGACCTTGCTGGCAATTAAGAGACAACAACACTACTTGCGTCTGGAGTCACATGTAGACCAGGTAAGGATTCCTTCCCTAAAGGAGATTAGTCCTTTAGTTTACTAGAAAAAGAAAAAATGTCTCTTCACCATACATTAGTGAACCAGGTGGGTTTTCCCCAACAGTTGACAACGGATGCAATCTTAATTCCAGACTTTTTTTTATTTTGGGAGTTCAAATTCCACCAGGTGCCATGGCAAGATTCAAACCCAGGACCCCAAGAACATTATCAGGGGTGTCTCAGTTAAAGGCCATCACCTCCCCTACATAATACACCTGAACAGGGGGATTCAAAATATCTGCAGCTCCAAATGATTACACAGCCCTCATTGCTGTGCCAATCTTGGGTCAATGAACGGGATTTCAGAAAGTTAAACAAAAATTGTTGATTCCAATAAGTGGAACCAACCAGTGCTGCCCTACTGTTGTAGTGTGTATGTGTATGTGTATGTGTATGTGTAGCTGAAGCTGACCCAGATCAACACAGTGTGACACTGTACTGATGTTGTCCAACTCACTCCTTCAACATTGAAAACAGACAGGGATTGTGAATTATTCCACGTCCACAATGCCTGTTCTTTTTGTGACATTGCTATGACCTTGAAGTTATTTTCCTGGTTTTGTTTTGGTTTAGCTCTAAGCAAAAGATTTTGGGGGTCTCAACAGAGTCAGAATCTTCAGTGAACATCTCCTGGCCGCTATTCTCTGATTTTTTTTTTCTTGCTGTACTTTTGGGAATCTGCGTCTGAATTTTCCCTTCTTGCCAAGGCGTGTGTTTGTGGGATGTTGCTATATTGGAACAGTTAATTAGTGATTGTCAGTATAACTATTCTTCTGTTAAGTTTTCCAATAGAGTTAAATTCCTCTTTCTTTGGTTGCATTTTAACTGCAGTGTTTAAATAAATTGTGTTTTGCTTAACATAGAGAGTAGTTTGAGCAATTGCATCTGGAACTCTGTACTTCACATTTGCCTTTACAAACAAGAAAATGTTAGGGTCTAGGCTACGTTCTTAAAATGTTTTCAGGGGTTCTGGTCTGGTCCATAACAGTTTCTGACCGTTCTGTTTCAGTGTGGAGTCATCCTGAAGATGTTCATCTCCTCCCTAAGATGCTGTGCTCCCAACATTTAGCAGAGTCTGTGCCATATACTCACTGAGGTCACAGTTACATCAGGCAGAGATCCATCTGCACGTTTGTTGCACTCTCTCTCTCTTTCTCTCTACAAAATGTCTGCCAGCTATAGTTAGTTATTCAGGGTGTTTGAGAAGACAGAGAATAAAGCAGGAGTAGGCTAAAAGCCCCAGCGGCTAATTTGTATCCCGACTCAATTTATCTACCTCTGCTTCCATATCCTAATTTCAAAAATATATTGCTCAGTCTTTCACCTGTCTTTTGTTTCTGACTGGGCCACCTTAACAATTCTAAAAGTGGAATCACATTCTGACAGTGACCTCACATCCTTCTATTTAAAACAAAATATCAGTTCAAAACTGTATCACAATTAGTCATCTTTCATAACTAATTTCAAAACTCTGATGTCTGTGCAGTGTGTGATAATATCTGGAAGCGATTAGCTGACAAGAACTACCTTCATTCAGCAATCCATCAATACTTGTCGAAAGGGCTGCTCACACAAAAAAAAAAATTACAGGGATCTTCCTGATACATTTGCCTCATTACAGGAAAGATGTGGAAGCGTTGGAAAAGGTGCAGAGGAGATTTACCAGGATATTGCCTGGAATGGAGGGAAGGTTTCACGAGGAAAGGTTGAGAGAGCTAGGGCTTTTCTCTTTAGAACGACGAAGGATGAGAGGTGACTTGATAGAGGTGTACAAAATGATCAGAGGTATAGAGCGCACAGCCAGAGACTTTTTCCTAGGGTGGAGGTAGCTATTACGAGGGGGCATAGTCTTAAAGTGAGTGGAGGTAGATATAGGGGAGACGTCAGAGGTAGGTTCTTTACTCAGAGAGTGGTAGGGGCATGGAATTCATTGCCGGAGAGAGTAGTGGAGTCGGCCTCATTAGGGGCATTTAAGTGGCTATTAGATAGACATATGGATGATAGTATAAAGGTAGGGGTGGAGGTTAGATAGACCTTAGGTTTAGGATAAAAGTTTGGCACAACATCATGGGCCGAAGGGCCTGTACTGTGCTGTACTGTTCTATGTTCTAAGGCATCACCCTCCAGCCATTTACAGATCTCTCCTCTGCAGCAGTCATCAGTTCTGTTCAGAGCTGTGGTTAGATCGGCACTTGCATGATAGTAAAATAAAGGGTAGGCAGGTTAGTTTGATCTTAGAGTAGGACAATAGGTCAGCACAACATGGTGGGCCAAAGGGCCTGTACTGTGCTGCACTGTTCTATGTTCTATTTCAGGAAGTTTGCTGTCATTTGTTTTAATCGCTGTTACTAATTCTTATTCAAATCAACATCAGTTTAAAAAAAACAAATCAAAAAAATGAAACCACAGCAAGAAGTATAAAAACAGGTCATAAAGTCACAAAAATTTAGAATTTCACAATGCACGGTTCTGTCTAGGCAACACCAGCCCCTGCAGTGGATTATTTTATATTGTTACTCAGTGTTTTATGGTGTAATCTCACCTATTTTCCGTTCAATCACAAACCCGTTCTTCACCCACCATCTTTTCATTGGTCTGACTAAAATGAATTGGAAGGGTTTATTTAACCTACCCAGCATCTAATCATAACCATCTGAATCATACTGAACTGGAAATGCCACTTCGTCTCTCGAAAAATTTTCCCTGTAAAGTCAGAGGTCGAGGGGTCACCTTGAGGTTTATAAACATCATGAGGGGTGCAGGTAGATTGAATACAAAAGATCTTTTCCCAGGATGGGGCGGGGGGGTCCAAAACTAAAGGTCATGGGTCTAAGGTGAGAGGGGAAAGATTTAAAAGGGACCTAGGGGGAAACTTTTTTCCCCCCACACACAGAGGATGGTGCATGTATAGAATGAGCTGCCAGAGGAAGGTGGTGGAGGCTAGTACAATTACATATTTAAAAAGGCATCAGGGTGGGTAAATGAATAGGAAGGGTTTAGAGGGATATGGATCAAATGGGACTAGAGATTTATTTAGGATACCTGGCCAGCATGGACGAGTTGGACCGAAGGGTCTGTTTCCGTGCTGTGCGTCTCTATGATGCGTGGAGTTTCCACAACTTTCTCCGTTTGAGTCAGAAGAATTTCAACTTGCTCCTTGACCCTAAGCAGGTGCCTCACTGAAGTGTCTACAGGCGAAGGGAGAATGCAGAGGTGGTGGTGGGGGGAGCGGCGGTCACAAACTCAGCCGATCCTCCTGAGCAATCACCCAGAGCCTGCAGTGTCTCCCTCTTTGTGATTATTGAATTCCAGTGTCGCTGATGGGGCACAGACTAGAGTGTATACACACGTGGGTGTGTGTGCACGTGTGTACGTGTGTCTGTGTCTACGTGTCTGTGTCTGTGGTGGGGGGGAAGAAGAGGGGTTGACAC